CTAGCCTAGCCTAGCCTAGCCTAGCACCCACAGCTCCTCCTCATCCTCCTCCCCGGCCCGGCCGCAGCCGCTATCCCCCGGCGGAACCAGCCCGGCCCCGCACGCACCTGGCAGCACCCACTCGGCTCCGGCCCCAGCTCCTTTTGTTTGCCCCTCACTGCACCACTCGTGCTGCCCCGCCCCGGAAGTGACCTCATCCTTCCCAACATGGCCGCCGCCGGCTTTCCCTAACGGGGGTGTGAGGACGGGAAGAGTAACGGGACCTGCCATCTTTATACCGGACCGTGGCCTGCGAGTGCCACCATGTTGGTGGAGGGCGCGTTCGGCCGCGTGGCTGCCATGTTTGAGTGGGGCACGGCCTTAAAGGGACCGTTCCGCGAGCTGTCAAAACTCTTCCCAAGGGATCAGCTCGTTTCCGACCCCCTGCCCCGGGGGCTCATGTGCTCTTTAGCAGTGCCCAGGCAGCAGTGGGACCGCGCGTTAGGGCCTCATAGGCTGTCTTTTGTGGGTTCCTAGTAGCTTAGAGGGGAAAGGACTTAATGGCTTAAGGTCCTGGGTTCAAATCCTACCAGGGCCCTTCATCCTAAAACAGATGCAGGCTGCAGGGGGCATGTATCAGATGAGGCCATTTGGATCAAGGCTTTGATTTATGTGGGTGTACAGCACCCCCTGCCCTCTCATTTCCTTTGCCTTGAATCACCTGCTGCTCTCCACCCCGAGGCCTCTACCTTTCAGATGTTGCTCCTAGTGGGAACAGTTTCCTCTTCTGTGTCCCCCACTTCCTTTCCTCTTTTGTGTCCTTGTGACGAGGTGTTTAGCAAAATTCACAGATTTCGTTGGAACCTGGCAGGCCGCGCCATGAGGGCTGCACCCCCCTCGGACTAGACATAAGTGAATTGAATCAGCCGTGCCCCGTCAGCATCAGGGGGGCGACCCTAGAGTTTGGTTAGTAAATGACCTTGCAACACAAAACACCAGGTGCCTATCAAATGCCGCTACCTTTTCATAACCTGGCTTGTTTTAAGGATCTCTTTTAATTCGGAGTGAAAGCAACTCAGATTTAAAGCATGTATATCTGATAAGGCAGGAGTGATGCCCTGTTACAGATCATGTTGTCCTTGTTTAACCTTCCGCTTTCGGAGAGAGAAATCAGGAAGCAAAGACGCAAGAGCTCAAGCACAAGCCCTGGAGTTTTGTTCAGACATATGTGGTTTATGTGACATCAGTGAAGAGCTCCGAGTGCAGAGTCAAAACACAAACGGGGTGAGTGGCCCTGCCCCACTTAAGTTGTATTAAAGGCAGGCAGCATATTCAGTACTGTGTAAAACACAAAGCAGAGCAACTTACTTACCTGGTTGATTCCATTGTGCATCACGTTTATGCTTATAGGTATAGAGGACGCTGAGATCTAACTGCTCTTTGGTAAACCTATTTGTCATGTATTTATTTTTATTTAGGGCCAGGTTGTTCTCTCTTTGAAGTCAAGAGAATTCTGGCCATTGATACCAATGTGAACAGGTGTAGACAGAAGCCAAAGTCCAACCACAAGTAAGGTAAGTATTTATTTATTTTAAATATATTGACACATAATTTAACTTAAAGACTTTTACTTTATTAATAACAGTAACATTTCTCACAGGACCAAAATGTTTTGTTCTTTACGTACTCTTCTCTTGGCAGTTCAGTGTTTAAAACCTGCCCGGTCCATTTTCCTGAATATTACCTTGGTTAGAATGGGTGGTTTAAGTTGGGAGAGAAAGGTACACCATCTGGTCTGGATCATCTTCTTCCCTGAACCTTGAACACGTACTCACACTGGTACAGACTGGGTGTACACCACATCCATTCTGCTCTGGTATCATTTTATACCCAGGTCCCAACGGAGAGGCAGGCTTTGATACACAATGGTATTTAGGCCCATAGCTTGTATGTCAGTGCCTTAACACAATGGGAAGTTAGGCATCTAAATATGAGTTGGGTGCTCACTACCTTTGTAGATCTGGGCCTCAGCCCCTCAGCAGATGGAAGTCTTCAAATCTCTAGAGTAATCTAGTAAATGCTGTCATATATAAAAGGGTTTCTCAAAATAGAGTTGGGACAATCAGTGATTTTGAGGAGAGTGTACGTTAAGAGGGAGGAATTGATTTAAACTACATGTTTTATAGCCTTTCCCTCGGGGCCATATAAAGACCAATCCACATCCATTTACCAAAGCTGAACATTTGTAAAACCTCATTAGATTTCCATGACAATGGTTCACCAATGTAAGGCCATTTGCAAATGTAATGGTTGTTTCACCGGTGCCATGAATAGAAACATAATTATTAGATGGTGACTATGTCCGATGGTAATTTTGCAGCATCAGTAAAAGCAGGCTGATTCACAGGGGTTATATTCATTAAGCTGACTCATGTTGAAATGTTAGGCAGCATCATTCAAAAAAAATCATAAAGGAGAGTTCAAAGGCATTCACTGTAATCTTCAAGGCAAACCAAGCAGTTATGTGTGACTGCAGTAAGTGCTTGGGAGTAGCGGTTTATAACTGGCACTCACTGGCTATTATTTCCATAGTAAAAGATATATCTGTAGCTTTCTAGGAACTTCACATTCACCAGGGTGCTGCACTACCCATTGGCATTACAGACTGCATGACATGCAGCTGAATAGCTCTGATTCCATTCAGTAGAGGACAGTGGTGTTCAGACACATAAGCTAATTCACTGCACTATTATGTGTGTGTGTGTATACACACATACATATATCATTTTTATTATTATTTTCAGTATGCCTTTAAGAAGGAGGACAGGTTTCTTTTCTTTTTATGATATATAAAGGAGGTCTAGGAATATGGTTTTTTCTGATGTTGCTTACCTCATCAAGTCCAGGACTATCAGCCAGTGTCTTTCTTTGCACATCTTGGTGGACACCCAGATGCTATTTGTCCGTGCTTTCCATCATTTATGGAATAGGCAGGGACACTGAATCTTAAACAACCATCATTTTTTCTCACAATTGTTTATGCAGATGTTTGAGTTAACAAGAAGCTTTAAAAAAATCAAATAATTTTAAGACAGCTAAATAAAAAAAAACACATTACCTCTCTCAGTGAGTCACATCTGCAATGTCACTATCTGACTGGCCTAAAGGACAAGCACAGGGGAAGAGCCAGGAGACCTTGTTCAATCCCCAGTTCTCTCCCAGATGTAGTGACAGCTGAAAACAGTCACACTCCCCTGTGCC